TTCTGAGGCCAGTTGAGTTCTTTAGCAAATTATAGTAGTTCCTTGCCACAGATACATTGCCCTTTGTTTGTACATCTCCCTTTTAAAAATGGTTTTTAAATTTTTAACTTTTCACTTTGAAAGGATTTGAGGGAAAAGTACAAAAATAGTACAGAGAGGCACTATATACCCTTCACCCAGCTTCCTGTGTTAACATCTTACATGACCATGTACAATTAAAAAAATCAGAAAATTGATGTTTATACAATACTATTAATTCCACAGGCTTTCTTCAGATTTCATCAGTTGTCCCACTAAAGTCGCTTTTCTGTCCAGGATCCAATTTTGTATCTTGCATTGCATTTAGTTGTTCTTTCTCTGTATTTCACTCCAGTATGTGACATTTGCTCAGTGTTTTTTTGTCTTGTATAACCTTGACATATTTAAAGAGTACTGGCCAGTACTTTTGTAGAATGTCCTTTAATATGGGTTTCTCTGAAGTTTCCTCATCACTAAATTCAAGTTATATCTTTCTGGGCAAGAATATTACAGAGATGATATTGTACTCTTCTTAATATATAATATTAAGAGGTTCTTCTCTAGAAATCCTTTCCATTAATATATTTAAAACAGCACCTGTATGTTAAAAATACAGGTTACTCCACTCTGCCAATCTGCTCCATATCAAGTGAAGCTTTATTTCTCCACCAACCTTCTGAATGTTGCCACATGGGCTTCCCAACATCATTTCAAACTTAACATGTCTAAAAACTGAATAATCGTATAACTATTAAAATTGTCCTCTGACTTCCTTACCTTTGTTAATATTATCCCTCTGTGTACCTTGACTTCAAAACCCGAATTTGTTTTTTAAATTTTCCTCTCCCTTCTTGTTCTCCAATGGCTTAACCTGCTTTTAGTCTATCTCCAGTCTAACCTGATTTGTAAACTTCAGATAGTATTGATTTGGAGTTTAATGCATTATATAGGAGATGGGAACTAGATGAGGTTTACTTAGTAGACATAGAATTTAGTAAGTCTTTAAATTCAGATAATGAGGAGGAAACTGCCCAGGCTTTATATTTTTTTCAATCATGAGAGTGAGATGAGCCAGGAGCACAGTTGGAGACACCAATCAGAATAGGGGTCCCACAGAGTAGGCATCACTCTCTGTTGCTCTGGTTACAAACTGCCTTCTATTTAATAATATTATGGTGAGAAAATCCACATGCAACTATAATAAACAGTAGTAATTAGAGGCAGAACAAGAAGCTTGGGGAGGCTCATAACACTGGACAAAGGGTAAATCTTAAGGAGATATATACTTGAGCTATAAATTATAGAAATTATACTGAGCCTCTGATCTAGGGAACTTCTTAGATATTGGCATCTTAGAGCTGTCTCCTGCTCACAAATGGTTGTAGTCGATATAGTCCATGTAAATAAACATATATTCCTTGGTTCACATTGCCTCACCTACTTATGTGATGGCCATCTTTGCCTAGGAGGAAATTTGGGGACTGGGAGTCAGAAGGTACAGTGTCTCAATGAATTGACTGAGGACGCTGATTAGATGTGGCAGCTGCTTTCTCTGTCCTCTTGCTGTCCCAAAGGAGTGTTGGGTATCTCCCACCACCACCACCAAAGGGGCTAGGATAGATAGAAGGAGACATTAACCCACACTGCCTCTAGGTAAGAGGTTCTCTCGCTTTCATGCATTTGCTGTCACTCTTCTCCCTGCAGTACCCTCCCCAGCCCTTATGGCCAACCAAGCTCTTAATGGTCTTAAAAGTCCAGTTGATATTAATAAATACAGCTTCAACTGATTTTCAAGAGTAATAGTTTATCCACTCGTGGCCATTCATATGATGTCTGCCGCTTCCTTTAGTAGCCACCTATACATATTTTGAGATACCTTGATAGGTTAAAACTGAGATTGTCATTATTTTCTGAAGCAGAAGCCTATGCCCAAGCTGTTACCAAGTGAGTTAATCTATCCAGAATAGATGCAGCAATAATTTGTTTTCCAAAAAAAGGTATGATTAGCAAGTATATTTTATTAGTTTCTATTGGAAAGTAGTAGCAACATAAGTAATGACCCCTGGCCTCAAAAAATCATAAAATTTCCTTAAAATGATACGATATAGCATTTAAAAGTTAAATTTATATTTCTTA